AATTTAGGTAACATATTAATATCTTACAGGACTGGTAAGAAACCGAACAAATTATAATTTAGGTAACATATTAATATCTTACAGGACTGGTAAGAAACCTAACAAATTATAATTTAGGTAACATATTAATATCTTACAGGATGGTAAGAAACCGAACAAATTATAATTTAGGTAACATATTAATGTCTTACAGGACTGGTAAGAAACCTAACAAATTATAATTTAGGTATGATATTAATATCTTACAGGACTAGTAGGAAACCTAACAAATTATAATTTAGGTATGATATTACTATCTTACAGGACTGGTAAGAAACCTAACAAATTATAATTTAGGTAACATATTAATGTCTTACAGGACTGGTAAGAAACCTAACAAATTATAATTTAGGTATGATATTAATATCTTACAGGACCAAAACATTCTCCATCACATTCTTCATGGCAATGTTTGCATGTTCTTTCTCCAGCATAATAAACCCTGCAAATCAAAACAAATAACAGATGTTTCAAAATAATAGTATTATGACATTAAAGAATACAAGGTAATAACCACACAGGTATGTTGAATAAATAAATTTAAATCCAACTTAAACTAAAAGATAAATTATGTTAATAATTTTAATTCATCAACTTTGTTAATGCATTTGTTCAACTAAGACAAACACCAAAACTTTAAACTTCTGTGTCTTAATAATAATAATCTTTCCATTTTTCTAATATTAAACTTACCCTGTTCTTATGGTACAGTTTTCAATACACTCATCATCCAGTCTATAACCATTGCAAGAAAGACAATCATTAGTCCTGGGCCCCCAACAACCATCCTCTGAACACTGGTCATAACACACAAGTCCTCTCATTTCTAGTACAAGTAAATAACAAAAATATTTTATTACAGATTTACTGAACTTGATCGTTTCAAATGTGTTTATTATAAACAATAAATGTTCCGTCAAAAGAATGGTCAGCACTGCTGTGTGGAGTTTTGTACATTCCAACACTGCTTTGTGGAGTTTTGTACATTCCAACACTGCTGTGTGGAGTTTTGTACATTCCAACACTGCTTTGTATAGTTTTGTACATTCCAACACTGCTTTGTGGAGTTTTGTACATTCCAACACTGCTGTGTGTAGTTTTGTACATTCCAACACTAGTGTGTGGAGTTTTGTACATTCCAACACTGCTGTGTAGAGTTTTGTACATTCCAACACTGGTGTGTGGAGTTTTGTACATTCCAACACTGCTGTGTATAGTTTTGTACATTCCAACACTGCTGTGTATAGTTTTGTACATTCCAACACTGCTGTGTATAGTTTTGT